TGAATGAATGGGTGTATGGATGAATGACAATTTCCAGCTATCCCTTTACTGATTATATACAATTTATTTTGTCCCAAAAACATTATAGTTGCCCTTCTCTTGTTCCCTGCTATAGGATATAATGTATTGTATAGATGCAGTCAGCAGATACTTTAGTTTGCCCTGTCTGATATTAGCTCCAAAAAAGTTGCAAGGGTGGGTATAACAATGTCTTGTTTACCTCTTGAATGACAGGCAACATGTGGCTTTGTCCTAACTTAACCATCACATTGCCGAGTTAACCTTTGAAACTTCCATCAGTCTGCAATATATGCTGTCATACAGCTAGAATGTATATGTATATATAAAATAATAACAATCCATGCTCTGCAGATTCTACATCAACTAATGAGATTTCATATTGAAAGAGTAACTGGATTTGTTTAGTGAGTATCCATAAAGAGTTATTGAATTTCGCTTGATCACTCATAAACACTTCTCTGAAATCACCCCCCTCGCCCTATGTGTTATCGTGAGATTTCTCGCAGCTGTTGGCCACCTGATTAACATTCTAATTATATTTTGTAAATGTATTCGTTTTTTCCATATCACATATCGACGGTCGGGAATACAGTATATTAGGATTGTGAAACACTTGAAAAAAGTTCTGACTACACAGGCAAAGACGCACCCTCCCCCCCCACCTCCCCCACCCCACTAACCGCCACAAAAGAAAAATGCATTGTCATCAAGAGCCCCTTTTGTGTTTCTTATGCCCTGTTTTGAATGCCTTACCCTTTGTGCCCCCTTAGTGTACCTTATTTCGCCACCAGCCCCTTTGTGTGTCTCTTACTCCCTCCATCCACACAGATATAATTATACAGGCACAATACATATATGCTCACAGACACAAAACCATAGAGGCACAGACATATATATTCAGGCACACAGTCACAAAGATATAAAGACACGTCATAAAAAGCACACAATAAAAAAAAAAACACAGTCATTAAGGAAGAGACATACAGGCACTCAGTCATAGAATCCCCACATACATGTACACGGTCATACAGAAACAGAGATACATTCATACAGAGAGATAAAGACACAGACATACAGATACAGACATAGCTACACAGACACAGACATACAGTCACACACTGACATACATACACAGACATATATAGACATACAGACATAAGCATACAGTCATACAGAGACATAAAGTCATAGTCATACAGTCATACATGCAGTCACAGTTACATACTTACATTTCATTTCTGTGCAATCAGGTCCCTGGAGAGCATGATGTCTGGCTCTTTGGAGCCCCCAGCAGCCCAATCCTATCACTGGACACTAGTTGGGCTGTGTGCTACACATGGATATGACGTGATTCCACACAGCCTGTGGCATGTACCAGAGCCAGTGGGCTGGACAGCGGTGCTGAAGCTCAGTCATGCTACATTCAGTGGTGTCTCCTGTTTTCCTATTTAGGGTGGAAACAAATGGGGTGCATTGACAAAAGTAGCGGGGGGGGGGCAATTGTAAAATGTTACATACATACATTATATATGGTCATAGGGGCAGTATTGTGGGGGATTAGAGCTTTGGTGTGGGTTATAGGGCTAGCATTGTTGGGTAATAGGAGCAGTATTGGGGGTAGGGACTTTAGGGTGGTGAGATAGGAACAATAGTGTGGGGGATTGTGGCAGTATTGTGGGGGAGGTACTTTGGTGTGGAGATAGGGGCAGTATTATGGCGAGTTGTATGGGCCGTATTAAAGATCTTAACATGTATAGCTTGGAGGAAAGACGAGACGGGGGGATATGATAGAAACATTTAGATACATAAAGGGAATCAACACAGTAAAGGAGGAGACTATATTTAAAAGAAGAAAAACTACCACAACAAGAGGACATAGTCTTAAATTAGAGGGGAAGTATTACTTTACTGAGAGGGTAGTGGATGCATGGAATAGTCTTCCAGCTGAAGTAGTAGAGGTTAACACAGTGAAGGAGTTTAAGCATGCGTGGGATGTACTAAGATATGTAACAGGGTTGATGTTCCAGGAGGGATAAACCAAATGGCAAATGATTTAGGTAAACTAGAAAAATGGTCAGAGTTGTGGCAACTGACATTTAATGTGGATGGGTGCAAGATAATGCATCTTGGGCGTAAGGGCAGAGTATTGAATATTTGATAGAGTCCTAACCTCAACATCTGAGGAAAAGAGATTTAGGAGCAATTAGTTCAGATGACTTAAAGGTAGACAGACAATGCAATAGAGCAGCAGGAAATGCTAGCAAAATGCTTGGTTGTATAGGGAGAGGTATTGGCAGTAGAAAGAGAAGTGCTCAATTTTCTAAATCCTTTCATTAGTCCCTGGCCTTATCTTATAGTTAGGCTATCCTATAAGATAAGGCCAGGGACTAATGAAAGGATTTAGAAAATTGAGCACTTCTCTTTCTACTGCCAATACCTCTCCCTATACAACCAAGCATTTTGCTAGCATTTCCTGCTGCTCTATTACATTGTCTGTCTACCTTTAAGTCATCTGAACTAATTGCTCCTAAATCTCTTTTCCTCAGATGTTGAGGTTAGGACTCTATCAAATATTCAATACTCTGCCCTTACGCCCAAGATGCATTATCTTGCACCCATCCACATTAAATGTCAGTTGCCACAACTCTGACCATTTTTCTAGTTTACCTAAATCATTTGCCATTTGGTTTATCCCTCCTGGAACATCAACCCTGTTACATATTTTAGTATCATCAGCAAAAAGACATACCTTACCATCAAGACCTTCTGCAGTATCACTAATAAAAATATTATAGAGAATGGGTCCAAGTACAGATCCCTGAGGTACCCCACTGGTGACAAGTCCAAGCTTCGAATATATTCCATTAACTACAACCCTCTGTTGCCTGTCACTCAGCCACTGCCTTACCCATTCAACAATATTTGAATCCAAACTTAAAGATTGCAGTTTATTGATAAGCCTTCTATGTGCAGCAGTGTCAAAAGCCTTACTGAAATCTAGGTAAGCAATGTCTACTGCACCACCCTGATCTATAATTTTAGTTACCCAATCAAAAAAATAAATAAGATTAGTTTGGCATGATCTCCCTGAAGTAAACCCATGTTGTCTCTGATCTTGAAATCCATGTGTTTTTAGATGTTCATCAATCCTATCCTTTAACATGGTTTCCATCACTTTCCCCACTACTGAAGTAAGGCTTACTGGCCTATAGTTGCCCGACTCCTCCCTATTACCTTTCTTGTAAATGGGCACAACATTCGCTAACTTCCAATCTTCTGGGACTACTCCTGTTAACAATGATTGGTTAAATAAATCCGTGAATGGTTTTGCTAGTACACCACTAAGCTCTTTTAATAACTTGGGGTGTATCCCAACAGCCCCCATGGACTTATTTTTCTCAATGTGATGGATGTCCCTTTAAGTAATTTAGAAAAAATATTTTTTTAAATGATAAACAATTGGGCAAGCATAAATACAGCTAATTTAGGTTCTAAGCTATAAAATGTATAAAAGTTGGGGTGGTGCTGAAGTAAAAAAAAAAAAAAAAAACAGCGTATAACTACTACTATATTCCCCTCCTTGTGGAGAGGAATGGTAGTTAATAAGGGATAACCACACACGATAAGGATTTGGGAATTGTTATAGACAACAAATTAGACAGCAATATGCAATTTCAATCTGCAGTTGCTAAGGCCAGTAAGGTAAATTCTAGGGATGAAAATATAATTTTGCCTCTTTATAAATCACTGGTAAGATCTCACCTTGAATATGCTGTGCAATTTTGGGCACCAGTTCTAAAGAAGGATATCATGGCACTAGTAAAAGTGCAGAGACACGCTACAAAATTGATAAAAGGAATGGTACATTTTAGTTTTGAAGAAAGGTTAAAAAAATGTAATCTCTTTAGTTTGAAAAAACAGCGCACATATATTCGGGGCCAGTAAAAACCATTATCTGGAAATCTATTCATAAACAGGGCTATACATAGGACACGAGGTCACACATTTAGGCTGGAAGAAAGGAGATTTCATCTAAGACAAACAAAAGTTTTTTTTTACAGTAAGAGCAATAAGGATATGGAATTCTCTGCCTGAAGAGGTGGTTTTATCAGAGTCATTACAGATGTTTAAACTGCAATTGGATAAAAACTTGCAAAAACATAACTTAGAGGGATATAATTTCTAATTAGTGGGGTAATAGCTGCTTGATTCAAGGAGACATATGACTGCTATTTTGGGGTCAAGAAGGAATTTTTTCCTAGTTTGTTGCAAAATTGGAAGCGCTTCAGACTGGGTTTTTTGCCTTTTTTTGGATCAACAGTACAAACATATGTGAGGCTGAACAAGGCTGAACTTGATGGACGCAAGTCTCTTTTCAGCTATGTAACTATGTAACTACTAAAAATGTAATATTTAAATAAATATATATTTTTAAGTATTTTATAAGGTTCTAAGTTCTAAACAATAATATTCAGGAATTTTGCTTAAGGCAATTCACATGTCCACACAGAAGCATCCCTGCTCAGCCCCCTTTTGTCAGAGAGATTACACACACTCACATTCACGTACACACACACACAGAAATCCACATACTTGATTTTAATTTTTATTCTATACAATGAGGGTTCAGCGAGGAGCTGCGGTGTTCACTCTCTGTACTGACTGTGGCTCTGTAATGGTGTCCTCCAACCCATGTTTGTTGGGTGGAGGGTAACATATAACTAAGTAGGGAACGGGCAACTGGCCTCTTCCCTTATTTACCCCAGGGTGGCACAGTGGAGGGTAATATGAGTATGAAGGCTAGTAGTCCCCGAACCTCTTACTAGCTATTAGACTAAATCAGTGAGTCCCAAACTAGTCTTAGTGGCCCAGCAACAGTCCAGGATTTACATATTTCACATTTTCAGTCCAATGGAGAGACTGACAAAACCTGGACTGTTACCGGGTTGCCCGGTCCCTTTGGTCACAGTCCCCTAGATATGACCAGCGTAGGGCATACACAGTACATTGGTTTGATAAACTCCCCACGCCAGCCAAGCCAGCTGCCAATCAACAATATCCACTCTGTCAACATGATTACAAGAAAACATGATTGCAACTCCCAACAAGCATTGATCGAGCAGGCTGGGACCCGTACTACCTGCTGGAAGTGATGGCCAGTGCAGTCTTTATGGATCACAGGATTATCACTCAATGACTGAGAGTTGATATTCTTTCCCATTTCCTAAAAAAAAATGTTTTGCAACTCTCATCATGTCCAACAACCTTTGGAAGAGACAGTAAATTAACAGATAGTCTTCTGCGAACTCCAGCAACCTGGTGTGCTAGTGAAACATAGAGGAAGATCGGAGTTATAGTCCAATGTGGATACACAACTCATCAGTATGAAAGAAATATGGAGAATGACTGTCATTACACTGATCACAATTAAGATATATGAAAAGAACCACATTATATTAGTTTAATATACAGCAAGATCATATGTTGTTCTGCAAATACTATATCTCTCCAACCTCCACCACTTATCTCACCCTCCTCGAGCTCTGACACAACCTCTGGCTTTCCCTATCTCCCCCAGCCCTGGCCCATGTAACCCTCCCCAAAACCAGCCTCTGCTGATAACAGCAAGTTTTAAAACAAAGCCGGCAAATGCAGTGGACAGAGAGAAGCGAAAACATCATACTGCAGGTACGACACAAATTTCACTATGCCATATACAGAAAAGGCATCTACTCTCTACGATACCATATACAGAAAGTGAATTGCCTCTACTACACTATGTATAGAGAGCACAGCCTATACTACACCATGTATAGAGAGCACAGCCTATACTACACCAGGTATAGAGAGCACAGCCTATACTACACCATGTATAGAGAGCAAAGCCTATACTACACCATGTATAGAGAGCAAAGCCTATACGACACCATGTATAGAGAGCACAGCCTATACTACACCATGTATAGAGAGCAAAGCCTATACTACACCATGTATAGAGAGCAAAGCCTATACTACACCATATATAGAGAGCAATGCCTATACTACACCATGTATAGAGAGCAAAGCCTATACTACACCATGTATAGAGAGCAAAGCCTATACTACACCAGGTATAGCGAGCACATCCTATACTATACCAGGTATGGCGAGCACAGCCTATACTACACCATTTATAGAGAGCACCGCCTATACTACACCATGTATAGCAAGCACAGCCTATACTACACTGTGTATAGAGAGCACAGCCTATACTACACCATGTATAAAGAGCACTGCCTATACTACACCATGTGTACAGAGCACAGCCTATACTACACCGTGTATACAGAGAGCACAGTCTATACTACAACAGATATAGAAAGCACAGCAAATACTACACCATGATTAGTGAGTACGGTCTGTACTAAACCATGTATAGAGATCACAGCCTATACTACATCATGAATAGAGAGCACGGTCTACACTACACAGTGTATAGAGAGCACCACCTATACTACACCAATTATAGAGAGCCCAACCTATACTACACCATGTATAGAGAGCACTGCCTATACTGCACCATGTATAGAGAGCACAGCCTATACTGCACCATGTATAGAGAGCACAGCCTATACTACACCACGTATAGAGAGCACAGTCTATACTGCACCATGTATAGAGAGCACAGCCTATACTGCACCATGTATAGAGAGCACAGCCTATACTGCACCATGTATAGAGAGCACAGTCTATACTACACCATGTATAGGGAGAGTACCACCTATACTACACCATGTATAGAGCACTGCCTATACTGCACCATGTATAGAGAGCGCAGTCTATACTATAACATGTATAGCAAGCACAGCCTATACTACACTGTGTATAGAGAGCACAGCCTATACTACACTATGTATAGAGAGAACCGCATATACTATACCATGTATAGAGGGCACAGCCTGTAATAGACTGTGTATAGAGAGCACAGTCTATACTACACCGTGTGTACAGAGCACAGCCTACAATGTATGGAGAGAGCACAGTCTATACTACACCAGGTATAGAAAGCACAACAAATACTACACTATGTTTAGAGAGTAAGGTATGTGCTAAACCATGTATAGAGAGCACAGCCTATACTACATCATGTATAGAGAGCACAGCCTATACTACATCATGGATAGAGAGCATGGTCTACACTACACATTGTATAGAGAGCACCACCTATACTATGCCATTTATAGAGAGCACAGTCTATACTACACCATGTATAGAGAGCACAGTCTATACTATACCATGTATAGAGAGCACAGTCTACACTACACAGTGTATAGAGAGCACAACCTATACTGTGCCATGTATAGAGTGCACAGCCTCTACTACATCATGTACAGAGAGCACAGTCTATACTACATAGTGTATAGAGAGCACAGCCTATAGTATACAATGTACAGAGAGAGCACAGTCTATACTACACCGGCTGTAGGGAGCTCAGCCAATACTGCACCATGTATAGAGAGCACAGTCTATACTACACAATGTATCGAGAGCACAACCCATACTACATCGCATATAGAGAGTGTGACAAAACTTCTATTTTGCACTGATTGGCAATTACCAGTTTGCAACATTGTTGCGCATGGTAATTGGAGGCACGATTATTCCTTCCTGGGGTGGTCTGATTGTTCGGTAGTTTCACTCGTATAATAACTGGAGTGATTTTACCAAACAATCAGACGAATGCTGCATACAACATACATACATCTGGCAAAATTAACAAAAGCATATTAACACACATAATTTTGAGGACAGCCCAATGCCATCCGCTACACTGCTCCCCATTGCCCACAAGCCGGCATACACGGTCTGATCCAGCAAGGATCGGCTTGGGGATGTCCGGGCTGCTCACGGATCATTTTTCCTAGTTTGTTTGTCTAGACAACCCGTCAGCGTTTCCATTTTGTTTGCCCGGGCGGTACTGAATGTTAAAGTCAAAGGGCCAAACTCCACCGCAGCAGCCTGGCATTGTCCCCAGCCACCCGGTTCAGCCATACCAACGGGTTGTGATCCGTGAGCAAGGAAAAGGGCTGTCCATATAAATACGGTTGTAACTTAGGGCCCACACCCCAGCCAGGCATTCCTTCTCGATGATGGCGTAGCTCACTTCTCTGGGTAACAACTTGAGACTGATGTAAGCCACGGGATGTTCTCCGCCATCGGCCCCGACTTGGCTCAGTACTGCCCCCAATCCAAACATAGAGGCGTCTGTGTGAACAAGAAAACGTTAAGTTGGATTGGGAGCTGCCAAGATGGGGCATTGATAAGTGCATTTTTTAGATGTTGGAATGCCTGCTCACACTCCAGGGTCCAGGTTACTTGGCGGGGAAGGTTCTTACGGGTAAGGCGGGGCCCTATAATTGGGGACAAACTTCCTATAATACCCTGCCATCCAGAGAAACGCTAACACCTGAGTCTTAGTCCTAGGGGTGGGCCATTGGGCTACGGCCTCTGCTTTGGCTGGTTCTGGCTTCTGTTTCCCACAGCCCACTCAATTTCCCAGGTATTGTACCTCAGCCATCCCTATACTACATTTGGCCGGTTTGAACGTCAAACCGGCCTCCCTAATCCTGTCTAGAACCGCTCCTATATGGGCCAAGTGCTCCTGCCAGGTATTGCTGAATATGGCAATATCATCTAGATATGCGCAGGTCTAGTCCTAGAACCCATCTAGGAGTCGGTCCACCATCCACTGGTTTTTCATCCCAAATAGCATGACCTTAAAGTGGTACAGTCCGAATGGGGTGACAAAGGTTGACTTAGGGATGGCGTCCCGGGCCAAGGGAATCTGCCAATACCCCTTACACAGATCAATAGTAGTGAGGTATTGGCCTCTGGCCATCCGGTCTAGCAGTCCGTCTATCCTGGGCATAGGATAGGCGTCGGACACTGTTTTCTCATTCAGCCTCCGGTAGTCCACGCAGAAGTGGGTCGTACCATCCCGCTTAGGTACGAGGACTACTGGGGAGGCCCAGGGGCTGTCCGATGGCTCAATCACCCCCAGTTGGAACATCTCATCGATCTCCTTGCGCATGTTCTCCCGCACCGCTTCGGGGATGCGGTAGGGGGTCTGGCGCATGGGTAGTTGCCCTGGGGTTTCCACCCGGTGAGTGGCCAGAGGAGTGTATCCAGGTACGTTAGATAAGGTGTCAGCTGTTGTATCTCGGTATGCTCCTGGGGGCTCAGCCGGTCTCCCAGCGCAACTTCTCCTAAATCCCCAGACAACCGACCGTCCTCCAGAAGGTCTGGGAGGGGAAGGCTGTCAAACTTGTCAGAGTTGGCTGCACAGATAGCGGTCACCTCCTCTGAGCGTTCCTGTTCACATGGAGCATGTGTCGCCCTCCAGTTCCTGCGCAGGGGCCAATTATATAAGTGGTGTCACATCTCTGTTCCACCTCTCTATAAGGGCCCTGCCAGGCGGCCTGTAACTTATCATGTCGGACAGGTTTTAAAATTAAGACTTTCTGCCCAACCTGGAAGCTACAGTCCCTGGCACCCCTGTGGCGAAACCGGCCCGCCTCTTGCCTTTGGACTATGGACCAGACTTTATGTGAATGTGTTAACCCAGATAGCTATGCCATGGAGCCCATTCGTGTAGTTAAAGACTTCGACTCCATGGCAATTGAACTGTGTGAATAGGATCTGAGCGATATTCGGTAGTTTTGTGCGCTCAGATCCCAGCTATCTGGGGATATGTGACATGTCTGTGTTTTATGTATAAAATGGGACTTTGTGTATTTTATAATATTTTAATGCTTTGTGCTCACCATGTGCATAATGGAGTCTTGTGTCTGTCCTGGGAGATAATTGAATTACTTCTCAATTCAATCTCCAGGATAGAAGACTCTGAAACTGGTTTGGGCCGGAAAGCCATGCTTCATTTAGTCACAAAGGACTTTCCCTTAACTTTTGAACCCCTGGTCTGATTCGTGCCATTTTTTATATATGTTGTTCCCCTGAATGGATTGATTATGAAAATGTATGTTTTATGTTTGTGACATGTATATTTTATAAGTTATAAATATTGTGTAAAAACTGTATTCCTCTGCCGGTGATAATGAGATTACCCATTGTGTTCAGTAATCATATCACAGGCAGAGGGGAGGATTTTGTGTGGGAGTGTCTGGGTGTATTGTACGGATTGATTGGTTGTTTTGTAACGCCCTGTGGGCTGTACTATGTTTGTGGATTGGGAATAAAAGAGAATGTATGTGACAGTACAGAGAGTTCCTGTTTTAACCCTCAAAGTGAAGTGTCGTCTCATTATTGGGGGAAGGATTTATTGTATGCTGTTCCAGTTTGACTGCTAGGAGAAGAAACCTATTCTCATGGTTTTTCCTATTCGGCTGTATGCAACATTTAAATGCTTGAGAGCATTCATATGCTTCTCCGGTTTGGTGGTTGTGGTGTCTGCTGCAGTGCTTGGAGTCCTCAGGAAGTGCTAGGAGCATCCTTCAACGGAGGTACCCAGTCGGGGTGCCAGGTGATCCGTTACAACTCCGATCATACCATGTGCGCTGGCGAGTCTGAGCCGCCTGAAGGTTTTCCCTTACCGTCCTAGTCAATGCTTCTAGGCGGTCCCGGAATGCCAACACATATGGTATGATGGGGGTAACGTCTGCGCTCCTATCTCCCTCCCAATGTTCTCTAACAAGGTCTAGGGGTCCTCTTACTCTCCTCCCAAATAATAATTTGAATGGGGAAAACCCGGTCAACTCCTGTGGCACCTCCCGGTAAGCGAAGAGGAGGTGGGGCAGGAATCGCTCCCAGTCCCTGTGGGTCTCGGCGAAGGTTCAGAGCATTTGTTTCAATATACCATTGAACTGTTCGCAGAGCCCGTTGGCCCGTTGGGGATGGTAAGGGGCACTGATGATAGGCTTAATGTCACAGAATTTCCAGAGGTGCTGGGTGACCTCCACGGTAAATTGAGTACCCTGATCGGAGAACCCCATCCAGGAGAAAATCTGCATGGATATTGGTCAGTGCCACCGCCTCTGGATATCTAGTGGCATAGTCTACGACAGTTAAAATATATTTCTTGCCAGAAGAGCTAGGTTTCCAAAGGGGGCCTATTAAATCTACTGCTATTCTACTAAAAGGTTCTTCAATTATGGGTAGCGGATGCAGTTTTGCCTTCCGCCAGTCCCCCTTTTCCCTACCCTCTGGCATGTATCGCAAGTACTGCAATACTTGCGGACTTCCTGGCTGATTCCTGGCCAAAATAAACTTTGGGTCAGTCGGTACCTGGTGCGACTGACCGCCAAATGTCCGCATAGCGGAATATCATGCGCTATCCGGAGCAACTCCGCTCGGTACAGCTGCGGTACCACTAGCTGCCTCATAACAATCGGGTCTGACCCGGCTACCTGTTTGTCTGACTCCCTGTATAAGAGCTGCTTATCCCATATAAATCTATCGCCCTCCGCTCTGGTTGATCAGATGCGACCTTGTCCCTATATATCTGTAAGGTAGGGTCAGTGATCACCTCTGCTGCAAATTCCTTTGGGGGGGCCCAAGGGACACAGTCTAAGGAAGGGGAAGGATCTCTTACCTGAACCTCCGATAGTGTGTTGTGGTCCTGGTTGCGGGCCTGTTGTCTGGTGACCACGGGATGAGCTTCTCCAGTGGTTGGGGCCTGGGTCTCAAAAGCAGAAGTGAGCCTTCCCAGATCATTCCCCAGCAAAACCTTCACTGGCAATTGCGTCATCAACCCCACTTCCACATTCCCTGACCCCGCTCCCCAATGTAGATGAACCCTTGCTGTAGGTAGCCGGTATACTGCTCCCCCCGGCTACCCTGACGGCCACAGTCCTGCTGGTCTTGGCTTTGTCAGATACTAGGTGGCTTTTGACCAGGGTTATGGTGGCTCCTGGGTCGCGAAGCCCTTGTACAGCTTTGCCCTCCAGGTAGACGGTTTGTCTGTGATGCTGGCGGTTATCTGCATTTGCCTGTAAGGGATCTGCTTCGTGCAGCACTTCCCACTGTTCCACGGTGGTGAGTGGAACTGCAGAGCCATAGGGGGTTGTGGTCTCGTCCTGGTAATAGTGGGCTGCTGCTCTCAGTGGTGGTGGTGGCCCTGGTCGGATCCAGGTGGATCAGTCTCAGAGTTGGGGACATTCTCGCTTGTAGTGTCCCCACCTGTGGCACTGGTGACATTGCACAGAGCTAGACTGGCGGAACCTCGGTTGGGCAGCGGTTGGTGGGGGTGGTACTGTTGTGTTGGTGGGGTAGCTTTTCCCCCCTAGAGGTCTTACTGCGGTCTTAATGACTACAGGTTTTTGTTGCCTGCGAACATCCATGTAGTCATCTGCTTTCCTAGGTGCCTCCGTGAGGGATGTAGGGTTGCGGTCCTTTACCCATTCCTGGGTAGTTTGGAGGAAAGACAAGATGGGGGGATATGATAGAAACATTTAAATACATAAAGGGAATCAACACAGTAAAGGATGAGACTATATTTAAAAGAAGAAAAATTACCACAACAAGAGGACATAGTCTTAAATTAGAGGGACAAAGGTTTAAAAATAATATCAGGAAGTATTACTTTACTGAGAGGGTAGTGGATGCATGGAATAGCCTTCCAGCTGAAGTGGTAGAGGTTAACACAGTAAAGGAGTTTAAGCATGCATGGGATAGGCATAAGGCTATCCTAACTATAAGATAAGGCTAGGGACTAATGAAAGTTTTTAGAAAATTGGGCAGACTAGATGGGCCGAGTGGTTCTTATCTGCCGTCACATTCTATGTTTCTATGTTTCTATGTTTCTACTGCACCACCCTGATCTATTATTTTAGTTACTCAATCAAAACAATCAATAAGATTACAACCCATGTGATTTTAGATGTTCAACAATCCTACCCTTAACATGGTTAACATTACTTTCCCCACTACTGAAGAAAGGCTTACTGGCCTATAGTTGCCCGACTCCTCCCTACTACCTTTCTTGTGAATGGGCACAACATTCGCGGATTGGGAGTTATAATCACTACAACTTCTTCTATGCTTGGATTTCGGGAGATTCTTCACGGATATACTCAGTCGGAGTATAGGGGATCCGTGACAGAGAGCACAGCCTATACTACACGATGTATAGAGAGTACAGCCCATACTACACCACATATAGAGAGCATAGTCTATACTACATCATGTATAGAGGGAGTGCAGCCTATACTATACAATGTATAGAGAGAGCACAGTCTATACTACATCATGTATAGAGAGCACAGCCTATACTACACCGTGTATAGAGAGCACAGCCTATACTACACCAGGTATAGAGAGCACGGCCCATACTACACCGCACATAGAGAGCACAGTCTTTACTACACCACATTTAGAGAGCACAGCCTATACTACACCGTGTATAGAGAGCACAGCATATACATATATAGGAAGGTCACATATTCCTCACTGCACCAGGAGGGGCACATTATTTATTACAATTATTTATACATTTCCAACAAAAGTCGGTGGACTAGCAGACATGCATTTTCAACAAGACAAGCTGGATGCACAGAAACAGAGTGTTGGGGGTCCTGCTCAAACAAATTCACATCCTATACTACACTATGCAGTGAAGGGATATAACCAATATTATATCATGTATAGAAGGAATACAGCCTGTATGCTACACCATCATGACCTGCACAAGCACAGTACAGATACATTGCCAGCCTCTCCCTCACATCGTTACACCATGACATGTATATACAGCAACATAACATACATGTAATTTATCTCTGTCCTTTCAGGGTTTCCTGTAACACATTCTGCTATCACCATGACTCCACCATTCACATTGTTACTCTACACACTGGTAAGTGAAAAAAGTCAGAATTCCATTGTGTGTATATTGATAGCTAAACCTGTATTCTAAATATTAGATTGTAAGTTCTTGGAACTATATAGACTTTCTAACAAACTATTCTAAATAAGGGGATGAAACAAAAAGTGTTGACTGTTGTAAGCGGACTGTATGCAAAGAGAGATAGTGAAGTTGCTGTGATAGGAATTTGTTGAAGACGTGTGAGAACTTTAAGGGTCATGAGTGGTTTAAGAAGAGGTTTGTTAGATGTGTGATCTTGGAACAGAGATTTGTCAGATAAATCATTGTCATAGTACTGATTATTGGGGAATTGGATCAATGGTTAAAGGAACACTATAGTCACCTAAATTACTTTAGCTAAATAAAGCAGTTTTAGTGTATAGATCATTCCCCTGCAATTTCACTGCTCAATTCACTGTCATTTAGGAGTTAAATCACTTTGTTTCTGTTTATGCAGCCCTAGCCACACCTCCCCTGGCTATGATTGACAGAGCCTGCATGAAAAAAAACCTGGTTTCACTTTCAAACAGATGTAATTTACCTTAAATAATTGTATCTCAATCTCTAAATTGAACTTTAATCACATACAGGAGGCTCTTGCAGGGTCTAGCAAGCTATTAACATAGCAGGGGATAAGAAAATCTTAATTAAACAGAGCTTGCAATAAAGAAAGCCTAAATAGGGCTCTCTTTACAGGAAGTGTTTATGGAAGGCTGTGCAAGTCACATGCAGGGAGGTGTGACTAGGGTTCATAAACAAAGGGATTTAACTCCTAAATGGCAGAGGATTGAGCAATGAGACTGCAGGGGCATGTTCTATACACCAAAACTGCTTCATTAAGCTAAAGTTGTTCAGGTGACTATAGTGTCCCTTTAATAATCACTTGGTTAAGACTGTGGTAGGCAAAATACATATCCCCATATATCAATAAGGAAAAGTCCCATGAACCACTTCTAGATATGATTATTACATATAGGCTGATGGAGAATCCTGGGACTTGCAGTTAATGATCAATGGGAACATGAGTTTGCTTTTTCTTGGCACTATTTTAAAAGATGAAAGAATAACATTAACATCTACAACCCATATATCTTTAGATTGCTGAAGTACTAGCAGAACAGACCCCAGCATTTGACAACACAGAAAAACCTTCTCGAACGTGGCCAGATTGGATGGCCAGTCTCCCAAATCACCTGCCACTTTCCTCCTTGGCAATCCCAGGCACCCATGACACTATGGCCTTTTATGGTGGGTCACTTGCTCAGTGCCAGAGTTGGAGACTAGGTGACCAGTACAAAGTTGGAATTCGGTTTGTGGATATCCGGTGTCGACATTATCAAAATAACCTACCTATCTTCCATGGAGTTTCCTACCAACGCACTGATTTCACACAAGTTCTCCGTGAAACTGTGACATTTCTGACCCAATATCCAACAGAAACAGTTCTGATGCGTGTGATGGAAGAGTACGAGCCATACCAGAACACAAGAAGCTTCTACAAGAGTGTGGCTGAAGTGGTAGGAAATATAGGAGAACGTTGGTTCCTCAGGACAAATAGCCTTCCTACCCTAGGAGAGGCCAGGGGAAAGATCATTATTCTACAGCAATTCTCATCATCGGACGGTCCAAATTTTGGCCCACCTTATCCTGGATCAATGAGTATTTCAGATGACTATGAAGTCAATGATGCTGATGTTAAGTGGAGGGAGGTGGAAAGGCATTTCAATGTTGCCTTAGATGGTGATACAAAGAAAACCTATCTTACATATACATCTGGAGTGCACTGGCTTCTCTACCCACCAGAAACATTAGCTCGAATAATTAACCCTAGAGCAAACGAGTACTTAAAATTAGAAAATTCATCAGTAAATAGGAAGAGGTCAGTAGGTGTAGTTATCATGGACTATCCTGGAGGAGAACTTGTCAGGGAAATTATCTTGAACAACTGGATGTAACGGAGAATATGATAAAATCATGAATATAGTAAAAGTTCTAAAAATTTTAATTAGGGGCAGGAAACAGTTATTCTTTTGGAGGAAAACCTCACAATTCACTTACACAATACAGATCTCTAAATGTGAGGAGCCTGGTAGTCAATATCGATAATCAGCACGCCAAGATTGTAGTGGAATAGATGTATGAGTGAGGTGCATTTGTCATATAACAGTTTATTCTTTCTTGGAAGGTACCCTCATAGTACCATATTGCTGGTAACTCCTTGCTTCTGTAACCCTTCCACTGATGTGTCCCTGCCCCCATATGGTGGTTATGGTGGTGTTAAAGGAGATTATATATATATACAAATAACCCCTGCACTCCAACATGTAAAAAGATAACGGTACCTGGTGCTCTGGTGGCTCAAATATAAATAAAGGAAGGTACATTTATTTATATCGACAGAGCCTTCCTGGCTCTGTCGATATACATGTATCCAGTGTGTCCCGGTCTGTGCATACAGTAACAGATGGATATGAGCCCGTCCTAGTACCAGAATAAGATTCGCTTGGGGTTCACCCAGCATAGGGGGTTCACCCCAGTATATGTATGTCACTAGGACAGGAACCCGATTCGCTTAGGGGTCACCCCTGTACCACAATGTCACTTTGGAGAGGTGTTTGCCACACTTGGGGGTCACCCAGCGTAAGGGGGTTCACCCCTGTTAATCACTTCGTTATGTGCCTCCACTACTGTGTCCTGGGAGGTGTATCCCTGTGGGGAAGGAGTGTATCCAGTGGTTGTCAGGTCCAGTGGGAGTAGGGAACTGAGTAAGTTTTCAGCTCTATTTAATTTCCCTGCCAGCAGATAGAGTAATGCATCCACTATATGCCCACAGCAGGGAACAGTCCATTCATAATCCTCCAGACGTACAATAAAAATGTTATTCAACATGTCAATTGTATAGAACAGAATAGAGCAAACTGCCAGCAGACATGAGTACTGCATCCACTAAATGCATACAGCAGGGATCAGTTCTACATATTCATGCAGAGTTACATATAACTTTTTTACTTCACATGCCAATGAAATATGACAGTATAGAGCTCAGCAGTGAACAGTCCATTCATAATCTTCCAGAAAAGGTACATATAAAACCTTTATTCCACATGCCCATGATATGTATACATATTGAGCTCAAAAGTACATGTAAAACTTTTATTTCGCAGGAAAAATATTTTAAACAGTACAGATCTAGCTGCCAGTTCGTGGGAATCACATGAGATTCAAGATATAAAAGCGCCGCGTGGCCCGCGATCGAGGATACGGTCGCGGCCCGCTTTGTATGGAACAGAGCCCCCCCCGACACTCCCAACCCCCAGAGACCTGTCCTGAAGTCCAAGCACCAGTGAATAAAAAAGCGTGCTCGCGGTAAAACGCTGCGATCACGGTAAAAAAACAAAACCCGATCGCGGTAAAACACAGTGATCCGTGCGAGACCAGAGTAAAGCATAGGAAAGAAAAGGTGCCAGCAACAGAAAACCAAACAGGCTAATAAAGCAGAAAATACAGGGTTAATTCGGGGGAAGGGTAACAGGGGGAGAATATCACACAATACAAGTCCAAATGGAAGGCAAGTGCAAAATAATGAAAACCATTTAGGTCAAAATTGCAGGACAAGCTAATAAAGTTTAACTAAAGTGGCCATGCATATCCAGAAACAGTTTGGAGCAAAACTGAATATCTAGCATTAAAAATCTAACTAAAGTGACCATAGCAATATTAATAAAAACAGTTGGAGCAATCTGAAAGTCAAATAATAAAGTTTAATTAAAGTGACCATTGCAATATCCAGAAAACCAGTTTGGATTAAAACTGAATGTCTAGCATAAGGTGTCTAACTACAGTGACCATAGCAATATTAATAAAATAACAGTTTGGAGCAAACTGAATGTTAAGCAATAAATGATTAACTAATGACAATTTGCAATATCAGTAAAACAGTTTGGAGCAAAATACTCTGACCTGTGCCTTGGCTGGAAGCAGCAAAGAAAGAGGAAGTCATGTGTCTGTCAGGGCTTTATATATGGATGTGATGCCTGTTACTGATTGGTTTAAAGTTTTTTCTGATTGACTTGTGCTGCTGGAGGCATAAAGTAAAGAAAGTTATGCAAAATATGAAGCCTCCTGTCATGTGATAAAATTCTGAACCATCACTCAAGATTTTTGCAAAGTCACATTTATTCTTAACCCACTCACAGCACAGAAAGCAATTTAAAAATATGAACGATTTTGGTTTCAAAGACAAATGTTTGTAAATTAGAATTTAGGATTAATTCATAATTAAAAGAGACACAGACTACACAACTAACGCAATAAATAAGAAGCACACTGTAATAAATAAAATAATAATGAATACCCATATATATTTATAAAATTAATCTAATTTAAAAATGTATTTGAACATTTCATGGAACCTTTCAGTCAACAACAGCACAAAAAGGCAATTAAAGGAACACTATAGTCACCTAAATTACTTTAGCTAAATAAAGCAGTTTTAGTGTATAGATCATTCCCCTGCAATTTCACTGCTCAATTCTCTGTCATTTAGGAGTTAAATCACTTTGTTTCTGTTTATGCGTTTCAATAAATTTTGTATCCTAAACTTAAATTTGACTCGCAAGTGTCTTTTTTTGTTTTGTTAAAAAAGTGTAAAATATTTTAAGAAATTGTGCAACCAATATTATTTTCTAGGAAATTCATAAAATATTTTTTTATAAAGATATATGTGTTTTTAAAGATTTTTTTTTCCTTTTATGATCATTTATTTTAAAATAAATAAATAAATAATAAAATAAAACTGTGAAGAAAATAGACTGAGTTCGGTATTTTCTTCTATGTTTGGGCTTTTCTGCAGTATTTTGTTCATGTTGGATCTATCAGTTCGGTAGTTTAAAACTACCGAACACCGACCACCCTCCTGGCTCATTAACTTCAAAAGAACCGTCTATTAAGCGCTCTCTGGGTGGCCGCTGTTCGTATAGCCGAATGCCACGTGGAACAGAAAACGGCGGCCATCTTGTTTGCACGAAAGGAGGCAGTGGGACTTGGTCTTCGAGTGTCTGGAACTAAAATCGGACACTCGACCTCCCAAACCACTGCTGAAACTACCGAACGCCTGCTTCCTTTAGTTGCTGAACACCCAGGAGAGCGCCATTCGCTAGTTTGGTTCATATGAACAAGGGGAGCAATCGTTTCTATGAGCCAGGAGGATCCATTCGGGACTTTTATTAGTTTTACGCCTTTTACTGAATTGACCGACCGTAAACGCTGAATTCATGGAACAGTTTTGGGCAGGAGCCTCGTGTGTGGTCGGTAACTTATGACTTCCATAATTTTTACGAACCCCTGAACCGATCTGGGTGAAATTTGGATATGTTGGTCCCCCAGATTGGGGCTATCAGTGCATATGTAATTTGTGGGGATACCTTGTGTGGAAAGGGGTGTTCTAATTTTTGGGAAAATTGTGTGCCCTCTGCCTGGAGATAATTGGGTTATTACTTAACTTATCTCAATATCTGCCAAGCAGAGAGAGGGCGGGGGTTACTGTAAATCTGTATGTTGATTGGTTATTGTCTTTGTTTACTGTGGGAGGTCCTCTTGCAGGAGGATTTCTCATAAAAGCCAGTGTGGCATCAATAAAAGTTATTCCTGTTACACCCTTCATGAAGTCTAGGCTCATGTTTGGGGAATATTCTACTTGCTGGGGTGAATCATCTTGGAAGCTGCATTCATCTACACTATTCCTCTACCTCCTAACTGCAGTTATAATCACTTATGCACAGCTATTGGGGGAGGAATAGAAGACTGCAGTACCATAACCACTGCAGGTCTTAACAAAAAACATATATTATTCTCCTCTTCATATTATTGATCTCAAAAAGATGCATGGTACTGTGTACTTATATTTTTTTTACACTGAAACATTTTGATACATTTTGTCCACTGGCTAGCAACCTCCATCAATTTATTTCGAAAAACAGATTTTATGTAATCAAGTAATTATCATTATTATTAGAATTATTAATATTGATAATTGTGCAGTGCAGTACAATAGGTGGACTAACAGACGAGTATTTGTAACAAAATGTGTTGGTCATACAGGAACAGAAGGAGTAGAGGGCCTTGCTCAAATGAGCTTACATTATAGACGAGTAATCAAGGTGTTCAGCAGGGGGGCTTAAAACTTTTCTCTACTCTAGAATATGTTTCTCAAAATAATGAATGGGGCAGCCTGTCAAGAGTAAACCAATGGAAGACAAACCTGGCAGATACTCTGGGGAGTTGGATGTGTAAGGTTATTTGGAAGGCTACTATGAAATCATTCCTTTTCAATAACCTGCCAGAACAAGGATTTCAGGTACATAACGCTAACTAGACTCCTCCACATGTTTGTTAACAAGACTGTAGACATGTGTGATGAGACCAATCTCGCCACTGTGCATTGGAGGAGCCTGGTTGCCTGCCTGCTGCCTTTTGACTATGGACCGGCATTTAAATACTTTATTTTCCTATGCAGAAAGGTCTATTCGTGTATTTCTGCCCTGGCGTTCAGTAGATTCTCGGATTTACTGAATGAACTGATTTAACCCAGATAGCTATGCCATGGAGCCTATTCGTGTAATAAAAGACTTTGGTTCCATGGTGATTGAACTGTATGTGTGTTGTCTGAGCGCCATTCAGTAATAATGTGCACTCAGACCTAAGCTATCTGGGGATATGTTGCATGTCTGTATTTTATGTAATAAATGTAACCTTGTGTATTTTATTGTATTTTACTGTCTTTTTACTGCCATGTGCTTAATGGAGTTTTGCCTCTGTCCTTGGAGATAATTGGATTACTTCCCAATTATCTCCAGGATAGAAGACTCTGTGGAACTGGTTTTGGGCAGAAAAGCCATGCTTCATTTGGTCACAAAGGACTTCGATCTATCTTTTGAACCAGTGGACCAATTTGGATGATTTTGACATATGTTTGTATTTGGAGTATGCTGATTCTGAAAATTAAATTTATGTGAATGTGATGTATACTTTTAAAGTTATGAATAATGTGGAAAAACTGTATTTCTCTGCCTGTGATAATTAACCCATTGTATAAGGTAATTGTATCACAGGCAGAGTGGAGGATTTTGTGTAGGAGTGTCTGAGTGTATTGTTCGTGTTTATTGGTTGTTTTCCAAAACCCTGTGGGTGGTACTAATGTGTAAGAATGTGTATATAAGAACAATAAACCCACAGCTCTGTCTGTTCTTGCTTGACCCTCAAAATGGAGCCTTGTCTCGTTCTTGGGGGGATTTATTGTATGCTGTTCAAGTTCGACTGCTAGGAGTGTAAACCTATTCGTATGGTTTTTCCTATTCGGCTGTTTACAGTATTCGTATGTTTGAGAGCATTCATATTCGGATTGGTGTCTATAGTAGCTGCCTGTGTCTCTGGAAGGGGAAGATCTTCTAAACGGCGGTTTAACCCTTTTATGCCTGAGGGTGCCATTACAAGATGAAACACCATTTAGCATGTAAAGTTGGACCACCCTATGGGTATTGAGCATTGGTGAAGGTAAGGAAGCCAGCACCTGAGGTGTTTGGGAGACCAATGGTCTTTTCACTGGTCACATATTTCACTGAAACTATCCTCGTTGCCAAACGGGCATAACAAAATCTTGACATTAAAATGTGGATTGAGGAGTTTTTTTATAGGCCTAGTGATCAAAAGTAAATATACAATTTATAACAAGGAAGACAATATGAATTCCCATAAAAAGTACAATTTAGTTATTTTATAGATAACAGAGGTGAGGGAGATTTAATGCTCATAGCTATATTATTATTATTATTATTATTATTATGTTATTATTTATTTAGCTCCAACAAATTCCGCAGCACTTTACAGTGGGTGGACGAACAAACATGTAGTTGTTACCAGACAAGTTGGACACACAGGAACAGAGGGGTTGAGGGCCCTGCTCAATGAGCTTACATGCTAGAGGGAGTGGGGTAAAGTGACACAAAAGGTAAGGATAGTATTAGACTAAAGACAGTTGCAAGAGAGGAATCAGTAGGGAGCTATTAACAGTTTAATTGATACGCTTTTATGAAGAAGTGGGTTTTTAATGATTTTTTGAAGTAGTGGAGACTTGATGGGCATCTAACGGAGGAGGGAAGTGAGTTCCACAGGAACAGTGCAGCCCTCGAGAAGTCTTCAGAGGTGGGAGAACGGACAGAAGATAGATATAAGTCTTCAGCAGAGCATAAGGGCCTAGACGGGACATACTTGTGTAGTAGGGAGGATAGATGGGTGGGAGCAGCATTATGTAGAGATTTGAAAGCAAGAACCAGAATTTTAAATTGAGCCTGTGACGGACTGCCTGCCACCCCGACCGGGTGCCTCCATCAATCGATCCTCCTAGTGCTCACCGAGGACTCCAAGCACTCCACCAGACACCATTAGCACTGTAGCCCCTTGGCCACCGTAGCTTGGCTGGGGGTCTCGCCATCCCTTCTCACCCTGGACCAAACTCCTGGATCCAGCTCCCAGTGGGAAGGCCTCTCCTCCAAGAGAGTATAGCTGTAAAGCTCTTATAAGAGCTAGTGATATAGCTTGTATAGCAGGTCCCTACAAACACGAGGCAAGGCTCTATGTTGAGGGTAAAGCAAGACTGAATTATCATGGTGCCACATTGGCCTTTTATAACAGTCCCCATGCAAGGGGTATGCCCACATGGACCTTGTTGGGGACTACAACACAAAGACACAGACCAATAAAAACAGTGATTAAATGCATGACACTCCTAAAACAAACATACAATCCCTCCCCTCTGCCTGGGAGATAATTGAGTCAGATACTGTATTAACTCAATTATCTGCAGACAGAAAAAAACACATATTTCTAAAAAGTCCCAAAAGTACCCCAAAACACATAATATCCCCACAAATGTTACAACCCCTGATAGCCCTTATCTGGGTGACCAACATTTCCAAAAATCACGCAGATCAGTTCAGGGATTCAGGAATTTCCTGGTAGTCATTTGTGAAGAAATCCCTCTTTATGTTCAGTATTTCTCCCCTGTTCATTCGGTAGATGTAACTACCGAACAGAAACCACCCCCCTGGCTCATTAAACTTCAAAGCATGCTTCAGTTGAACCCTCTACCTGGGCGACCGTCGTTTGTACTACCGAACGCCACGTGGCTGAGAAAACAGCGGCCATCTTTTTTTATGCGAACAAAGGCAGCGGGACTTGGTCGTCGAGTGTCCGGAACTAAAATCGGACACTCGACTTCCCGAACACCGGTCTCAACATACGAACGCTGGATCTTTATTTCCCAAACAGCTAGAAGAGCACTGTTCGGTACTTTTGTTCATTTGAATGAGGGGAACAATCGCGCTAAGAGCCAGGGGAAACTGTTCGTGGGATTATTCGTTTTTTTTCCACTTAACGAAATAGACCGGCAAAACTACCCAAACTCATGGAACTGTTTTGGGCAGCCACCTCGCGGTTAGCCGGTCACAAAAGAATTTTTTGAGAACCCCTGAACCGATCTGGGTGAAATTTGAATATGTTGGGGACATGTTTGTGGGAATACCATATGCCTAAAAAGGTGTTCTAAATATTGGGGAAAACTGTAATTTTTCTGCCTGGAGATAATCAAGTTATTACTTTATCAGACAGATTATCTCCAGGACTAGGGGAGGGAATTGTATGTTTGTGCTGGGAGTGTTTTACATTTTCTTGTAAATGATTGGATGTACTTTGTCCCTCCCTGTGGGATGTCCCCTTGCATGGGGACTTGCATAAAAGCCAGTGTGTGATCATTAAAAGCCAGTTCTGTTGCACCCTTCTTCTAGACTTCGGCTGATGTTTGGGGATTCGCATGCTTTATTAAGGGAATTATCTTGTAAAGCTATTGTATTCGTATGGATTTCGTTTATTTCATCTACCGAACGGAGAGCTATAATCACTGATGTTCTGGCTGTTTGGGAGGAAACTACCGAATGAGGATTGGGTATCCTAGGATTCCTTACATCATTTATTTGACCAACCGCAGTCATGGTCCCATAGCTGAAAATAGTTCCATAGAATCACAGCTAAGTGCCGCTGGAAGACCGACCGGGAACCGTGAAGTTTTCATGCCGAAAATAGTTCCAGGGCATTCGCGGCTAAGTCGCCCTGAAGTCTATTTGCGGTTTTGGTCCATGCGAACAAGATGGCCACCACATCGTGGTCGTCCATAGGAATTACGGCCACCTAGACGAACACTTAGACCACAAGCTCCAGGGTGGTCTCTGGTTTGTGCGGCTTTTCGGTAAACTAACCATATAGTCCCAATTGCACGAAAGAGCCTGTTTAAAGTATTTTAACCAGGTCTATTGCAGGAGCCACAGTCCCAGGGTAAGAGGCTAGCAAGTATGCCCCTCCAAGAACCCGTGACGAGGTCCAGTTTGTCACAGAAAGCACTTGAGTTAATCAATGAATGTGTTACTAACAGCCAAGGGAGGTCGGTGTTGGCGGAGGTATAAAAGGGGGACCACACACTATCCATTCAGGAGACAAGGGGTACAGACAACTAAACACAAGGGAATGAAGTCTGCTACAGGGTGCAGGGTATGTGAGAGGGGTGCAGTGTGTGGGGATGTAGTGTGTGTGTGTGTGTGTGTGTGTGAGAGAGAGAGAGAGAGAGATGCAGTGTGTGTGTGAGGAGTGCACTATGTGTGTAAGGCCTGAAGTGTGTGTGAGGGGGACAGAGTGTGTGTGTGTGTAGGGGTGGGGGGTGCTGTGTGTGTGTGGAAATAAGGTGAGGAAACAAACCTTTTAATGGGAGGTGGGAGGTGGGGAAGAATAGCGTTTTCACAACTATGGTGTCAGAAATATATGTTTGTATTCCTGACACTATAGTGTTCCTTTAAGAAAATTAAAGGAACATTCTGGTCACCATAACAACTTCATCTAAATGAAAATGCTATGATGCCAGGAGGCCCCTGGGCTCTCTTTCCTTCAAGGGGTTAAATTGCTCTCAAATGGTTTATTTTTATTTATTTATTATTGCCATTTATATAGCGCCAACAGATTCCGTAGCGCTTTACAATATTATGAGAGGGGATTTAACTATAAATAGGACAATTATAAATAAACTTACAGGAACAATAGGTTGAAGAGGACCCTGCTCAATCGAGCTTACATTCTATAGGAGGTGGGGTGTAAAACACAGTAGGACAGGAATTTGCAATCAAATAAGGTGGGCTGCCCTTTAGGAGAGGGCAAGAGACGGGTATGTGAGGTAGGGGTTAGTCTTGGAGGCCATAAGCTTTCCTAAAGAGATGGGTTTTAAGGCACTTCTTAAAAGATGCAAGACTAGGGGAGAGTCGGATGGCGGTAGGCAGGCTATTCCATAGGAAGGGAGCCGCCCGCGAGAAGTCCTGCAAGCGCGAGTTGGCCGTACGGGTGCGGACAACGGACAGGAGGTGGTCACGGGCAGAGCGGAGAGACCGAGAAGGGACATACCTATGGATCTGTGAGGAGATATAAGAGGGGCTAGAGTTGTTCAGTGCTTTATAGGTGTGAGTTAGTGCCTTGAATTGACTCCTATAGCACACAGGAAGCCAATGTAAGGACTGGCAGAGGGGTGAGGTGTGAGAGAACCGACTAGAGAGGAAAATCAGTCTAGCAGCAGCGTTCATTACAGACTGTAGGGGTGCAGTACGGCTTTTGGGAAGACCAAGCAGGAGAGGGTTACAATAATCCATGCGGGAAATTATTAGAGCATGGACAAGCTCCTTGGTAGTATCTGATGCAAGAAAGGGGCGGATGCGGGCTATGTTTTTAAGATGGAATCTACAGGATTTGGCAACATGCTGGATGTGAAGCTCAAAGGTGAGACCAGAGTCAAGTATGACGCCAAGACAGAGCGCTTGCAAGGATGGGCTGATGTTGGTACCACAAACTTGAAGGGAGAGCGAAAGAGGAGGATCAGTATAAGGAGGAGGAAAGACAAGAAGCTCAGTTTTAGAGAGATTGAGTTTCAGAAAGCGTGAGGACATCCAGTCAGAGATAGAAGAAAGGCAAGCAGTGACACGTTGCAGGACAGCAGGGGAGAGGTCCGGGGAGGAGAGATATAGTTGGGTGTCATCAGCGTACAGGTGGTAGTGGAATCCAAATGAGGTAATAAGTTTGCCAAGAGAGGCAGTATAAAGAGAAAATAGAAGGGGACCAAGGACGGAGCCTTGGGGGACTCCAACCGAGACAGGGCGAGGGGAGGAGGTATCATTAGAAAAAGAGACACTGAATGAGCGTTGGGAGAGATAATAGGAAAACCATGAGAGGACAGAGTCACAGAGACCAAGCGATTGCAGAGTTTGAAGAAGGAGAGCATGATCAACGGTGTCAAAGGCCGCTGAGAGGTCAAGAAGAATTAGTATGGAGTAGTGGCCTTTGGATTTAGCTGCGATTAGGTCGTTAGTAACTTTGATAAGGGCAGTCTCTGTAGAGTGGAGAGGGCGGAAGCCAGATTGAAGGGGGTCAAGGAGAGAGTTGGAATTGAGGAAATGAGACACACGGGTAAAGACAAGTCTTTCCAGAAGCTTTGAGGAAAAAGGGAGCAGGGATATGGGACGGTAGTTAGAGGGGGTGGACGGGTCGAGGGATGGTTTTTTTAGTATAGGTACTACAGTGGCATGTTTAAGGTCAGCAGGGACGATGCCAGAAGAGAGCGAGCAGTTGAAGATGTGTGTTAGAGAAGGCACGAGACAAGTGGAGAGAGATCTGATAAGGTGAGATGGGACAGGATCGAGCGGGCAAGTGGTGGGGCGAGAGGAGCAAAGAAGAGCAGCCACCTCTTGGTCAGTGGCTGGGGAGAATGTCTGAAGGGTAGGAAAGGCATGATCTATGTGTGATTGAGAAACAGAAAGGCAAGGAGGGGAGAATTCTTTCCTTAGCTGTTCTATTTTGTCAGTGAAGTAACATGCAAAGTTATCAGCAGTAAGGTTGGTTTGGGGGGTGGCCACAGCGGGGCGAAGAAGAGAATTAAAGGTGTCAAAGAGACGCCTGGGGTTGCGGGAACATGAACTAATGAGAGAGGAAAAATAGGACTGTTTGGCAAGGGCAAGGGCTGCACTGTATGAACACAATATGAATCTATAATGGAGAAAGTCTGACTGGGTGCGAGACTTCCTCCAGGAGCGTTCAGCACAACGGGAGCATCTTTGCAGGTAGCGCGTTGATTTAGTATGCCATGGTTGGGGGCGGGTCCTCCTTGAGGTGCTTGTTTGGAGTGGCGCTGCAGTGTTCAAGGCAGATGTAAGAGTAGAGTTATATATGGAGATGGCCAGTGAAGGACAGGAGA